ATATCACTAACCATTTGTTAGACATATCTGCTTAAATGTTTCAGAGTAAATTCAAATATGCATCCTTGTACTTATAACCTTCCCTCTTTTCTCTCCATATGCCTCTGCTGGTCAGCAGAATGACTTTATCTCAAATCACCTCTGCTGGAAACATTCTGTTCTTTGCCCCCAACAATTAAAGAACCCCTGCATCCAGATGGCATTCCCCACCAAATGTTTTTGAGGCTGGTCCATTTTGTTCACACCTATTATTATAGGCATTACTGCTACAGCTTTCAGATGTTCCAAATGTTTCCTGAAAACCCAGTTCTATCGTCTCTGCATTGATTCAAACATTTAAATGTATTTCCTAGTGCCAGATACTGTGCATGATAGAGAATTCACCATAGATCCTACCTTTACAAAATTTAGGAGACAGTCATGACATTACTTGATAAGTGGCATTTTTAAAAGCACTTGCAGGTGCCATGGGGACCTTGTTATGGGAAGGCTTCCTGCTGTCTTCTTTTCAGTCTACTGTGCATAACACCACAGGTTCTTTTTGGGCTCAGGGATAGAACCCAGGGGCACTTAACCACTGAGCCACCTTCCCTAGCCCTTTTTATTTTTTATTTTGAGACAGGGTCTTACTAAGTTTCTTAGGCCTTTGCTGAGTTGCTGAGGCTGACTTTGAACTTGTAATTCTCCTCCTTGACTCCCCGACTCCACCCCATGCTGTGCCACTGGGATTACAGGCATGCACCACCACAGCCAGCTCCACCACAGGTTCTTGTTACCTTTCTTCATGGTACGTTCTTGCCCTCAAGTCCCCATGGTCTCAATTTTCCATTGATCAAGTCTTGTGCAGATCTCTTCAGGGCCCTTATCAACCAGCTCCTCCTCTCTCCAAAACCTGACTTAAGACTATTTCCAGGGCATATTTTCCACTACTCATGCAAAACTTTCTAGTACCATTTGGACCTTGATTTTCCACCTTCAAGCTTTTGCATGATTATTGACCCCATAATATCCTTCTGTTGTCACTGCATTTAGCCAGACATTGCCATTTTTCCAGTTCCACTTAATCATCTACCTCCTTCAGGGTCCTATTCCTAATGAACAAAATGGACCACACATTGCAGAAGAAAATCTACATTTCATTGCTGGGCATAGTGGTGCCCACCTGTAATTCCAGTGACTCAGGAGGCTGAGGCAAGAGAATCACAAGTTTGAGGCCAGTCTGGGCATGTTAGCAAGATGCTGTCTCTAAATAAAAAATAAAAAGGTCTGGGGAAGTAACTCAGTGACAGAGTGTCCCTGGGTGCTACCTCTGTTACAAAAAAAAAAAAAAAAAAACTACCCTGTTATACACCTATTCAAAACCAGGTATTGGGGCCTGCTGGGCACCAGGTGCTGGGAATATGATGATGAACAAAGACATCAGAGTCACTGCTCTCATCTGTCTTACAGCTGGAAAGGAACAAAGCCACACACCCAAATGAGCAGTCATCAAGGCAATTTCTAAGAGTGGTGATAGTGCTATGAAGAAGATTGTACAGTGCACATGAATGTGCACAAGAGCGTGGGAGCAGGATGGGCTGCTTTAGACCACTGGTCAGAGCAAGCCTCTCAAAAAGATATCTAAAACCCAGGGAAACTGCCACCCCAAGATCTTGACAAAATATCTCAGGAGATAGGAACAACAAGGGCCAGATCTCTGGGGTGGGAATCATTTTATAACATTCAAGGAACTGAGAAAAGTCCAGTGTGGCCGGAGCACATACACAGTCAAGTTTGAGAGATAAGAAAAGGCCAGATCCTGTAGGGCCTTGCTAGTGTCTGGATTTTGTTCTGAGCACAAGGCAGCAAACTTTTTCTTATTCCCTTTCTTCAGTTTCTTAAACTCAGGGGACTGCTTGGTCATTTTCACATTTTCAGAGTTCACGTGGCTGCCGTTGATGGATGAGAGACAGGCAGGAAAGGCTGGTAGTGAGCTCTCACACCATCCTGAGGGGCACGGCAGTGACTAGGTGGTGTACTTGGTAGCAGCAGAGATAAATGAAGAAGGTGGAAAAGGGATCTGTTTGGGCCCAAAAAGGTTTCCTGTTGGGTCGGATGGCAAGGGGATGAGAACAAAAATAAACGAAGCCTTGGTCAGAAAGGTAGCTCAGTAGTTTCACTTGACCACTATGCGGGGAAGCTCCCCCATGCCAAACACTGTATCAGGAATTGGAGATTCGTGATGGAGTTATACATCATTTTGGCCACTGTTTACTTTTCCACATAATTTTGCTAATTCCTGTCTTTTAAATTTTGTCTTCCCATCTGGATCTAATAGCTCTTTGAGATCAGGGTCTAATGGTTGCCTATCTTCTCCACTAAATCCAGCACAGTCTTAAACATGGCAAGATGTGTCTAGCAAGCACAGAGTTGATGGCTGAACCAGTACTTCAGTAATCTCACATATTCATGATTTTTCTTGGTATCATACTTGCCTCCCCACCCAGGACACATGCCAAGGAATTACTTGCATACTCAAGGTGGAAATGTCTAACAAATATCCTCTTTTACTGCATGGCTTTGGAGCATAGCAGTATCATGAGATGCACACCAGCACACACTTCACACATGTATACAAACCAGCAACATTCCAGTCCCATCTCCTTCTCTAGCATTCATTGCCCACATCATTTCAAGACCCCCCCTTGATGGTCTCAACTCTAAGCAAAACACACCAGCCCCTCCTGCACAAATCTTAGGGCCTTTCTTATAGAGCACAGCTTCTCAGTCTCAGCACTACTGACATTTTGGACCAGATAATTCTTTACTCTTTACTGGGGAGGGCGTAGGGCTGTCCTGTGTATCACATTAGTAGGTTATTTAGAGCCTTCCTGGCCTCTACCTACAAGATGCTAGTTGTACACACCTTCAATTATGACAATAAAAAATGTCCAGACAGTTAGATAGTGGTGATGGTGCATAAAGTCATGAACCACTGAATTATGCATGTTAAAATAAGCATACTAGCTTTTAAAAAAAACTGTTCAGACACTGCCAAATGTCCCTCCAGGGTAGGGGAAATAATCAGCCCCACTTGAGAGCTACTGTTTTATAGAGATCTAATTTCCAAGTTCAAGTACCCTTTTGCCTTAGCTTCCCTTTTTTCTCCTCACTTGCATTATAAAAACCTCTCTTCATATATTATCACTGCATTTGGCTACCACTGTCATCTTCTTAGGCTTTAGTTCTCTTGTTTCCCATTTGTTCCAGACAGAGGATGCAGTAATCAGCATGCACAGCACGCTCGTGTGCATGAACATGTCAGGGTGCCAGGTGTAATCGTGAAGACATTTTTACTTGTAAATAGTTGTGCATGTAATGTTGATATTTAATCTGTGCTATTAAAATTAGAGGGATTTTATTACCTAGTTAACCAGGTAAGTTCAAAGAGTCCCAGAGGTTTTTTTGTCTTTATGGTTCCTTGTAATATTTTTGTTATGATTTATTTATCTCTCAGTTTATCACTACATTTCTGAGAACTTATTTTGAAGCATAATCCATGCTTGTTGAGTACTGACCAAACCTGTTTTATAAAAAAATTCCACCCTGAAGCATTTAAAATAAGGTTGAAAAGAAAGGTTTAATAAAAAAGCAATGGGATTATTTATATTTGGACAAAAGAGCTTTTGCCATTTTCACTGTGCTGACAAACCTCCAAAAATCTCAATCCAAATGTTTTATACCACACATTTTTTTTTCTTGTTCACTAGTTCTAGAACATATCGCTCACTCTACAAGGATGTGTTATTCCTGAATATCAGACCAACTTACAATGCCCTAGTCAAAACAATTCTCATGGCCAAGCCCAAAGTCAGCTGGTGGGATCTATTCCTCTCCCCTGGGAAGGGATCTGCAAGAACAGGCCAAGTGTAAAGGGCTAGTTGTTAGTCAGCTTCCAGTCACTGTGACAAAATACTTGAGAAAATCAACTTAAAGGAAAAGGTTTATTTTGGCTCATGTTTCAGAGGCTTCAGTTCAATGGTTGGCTCTGGTTTCTTTTGGATGCATTGTGAGTCTGTGCATCACAGTGGGGAGTCTGTGGTGGAACAAATCTGCTCACCTCCTGGCAGCCTGAAAGCAAACAGAGAGAAAGGGGCTAGAGTCCCAATATCTCCTGTAAGGGCACACCCCCAGTGGCAACTGCCTTGGAGGACATGCCCCCAGTGACTTTCCTTACACTAGTCCCCACCTCCTAAATAGATGTTCCACCACCTCCCAACACTGCCACTGAGGACCACACCTTTGGTGCACTGGCCTCTGGTAAGCAACTGAGACCCAAACCATAACAGTTGGGAAATATTTTAATATAACCAATGACAATTTTTCACCATAAGCCTGGTGGAAACAATCTTGTATGTACACACACACACACACACACACAAAAAAAACAACTCTGTGATATTTCTAGCTACAATACAAATGTAAATGTTTTGATAGAATGGTTTGAATTTTGGTTTGGTGAACAATTTTTCTGTATGACTTAACACCTACCAATGTTTTCCTTTTAATTTTTTCCTTTCTTCAGAGAATCCGTGACTTAGAAGATAAAACAGACATTCAGAAAAGACAGATAAAGGACTTAGAAGAAAAGGTATGCGTCAAGTTCAATATCTGTTTTATCCTTTATTTATTTAATGAGAGAGTAGTATTGATTTTGCTGCCCGTGTCCTCCCTCTCTCTTCTCAGTTACTGTGGACTTGGCATAGGTAGGTGCAGGTACAGGAAATGTAGGACTCACCTGCAGTTAGGCCCAGGGTTCCAGCAGAGGCTGGGGCACCAGTCACCCACCCTTGACATTTTCTCATTGTGTGTTGGTTCTTATTCTTTTCTGTGTTTTCTGTTTTTGTTTCTTGTTTTCATTTCCTTTCCCAAACTTTCTTCTGAATTTCGTTTCTCCACTCTTTCTTTTGAAAATATTTTTAGCACCTTAAAAAAAATCTTTCCCTTTATTATTCATTAAAAGCCCTTTCATCCTTGTGCTTCAGTTTTACTTCAACCGTGAGTGAGTTAGGAATCTTAGGCTGACACATGATAACTATGCCTCTTATCACTTTCTCTGAGATCTGAAAAAGAAAATGTTTCTTCCAAGTCAATCAATGTTTGGGGGGAGCAAAACATAGGGATTCTGAAAGAGGTCACTTGGAAATGATTGTGTGTTGGGAGAAAGGCTGAGGCTCAGGAAGGGATGCTGTGAGTTTAACAGTCTTACATAGTAAAACCTGTCCTCCCCAAAATACCAAGAGAGTCCCCCGGAGAAATACAAAAAGGACAGCAACAAGGTTTTCTCTAGCATCCCAGTCTTACTGAATGGAAGTAGCTACCTAAAACCCTGTATTTAAAAAGCATATGGCTATTTTTCAGCCTGTACCATGGACACATAAGAGTAAAATAGCAAACCACCAGCCATTCCTGAGATAATTGTCAAGATTTGATTAATCTCAAATTGCTTTTATAGCTCTCCTTATTTAGTGAGGTCATGGGGAAAGAGTGAATTGCAGTGGTCAGGCCACCAAGCACCAGATTCTTAAACAGGAGCTTCTTCAGGAGCTCTTTTGACCTTGAGTGAATGACCACACTCCTTATGTCTAAGCCATTCCTAGAAAATAGGAATGCCAACATTTCTACTCACTTCTCATGGGTCCCATGAGTAACAAGGTCACATGTGAAAATTAGGAAATACCAAGAAAATTATCAATCAAATTTAAAAGTATAATTAAAAAGAAATTTCTACTCCTAAAGTACACATAAAATTTTAAATTCAAATTTCCCTTTTCAAAGGTGGTCTGTATAGTTCTGCAATGGCAGAAGTAAACCAAGAACCATCTTTAATCTCCCAGTGACTAGTAGGAAGACCCATAGAAGGCAGTGTTACTCCCAGCTTCCCTGGGATCAAAGACACATCTAACATTGTCCATTCATACATTTTCAAGCAGCCAGACCTTGGCCATGCTTTGCTCATTCATAAACTTGCTGGGTATGGCTCAAGGAGAAAGTTGATGTTAAGGCAGTTTTGCCCCCAAAACTTGATGATGCCATTCAGTCCCCATTTAGCTGAGGTTTAGAAAAGTGGGGAGGGAACTATATCTATCAATGTCACCACCCTAGCCCCTCTCTAAATAAATCCCATAGAAATTTGGGGGGAAAAGGAATTAAGATTTTGTTCATTGTAAGAACATAATGTGAAAATGTTCCCAACCCTTTTGCTCAATACATTTCACTTTATTTATGAACTTCCTAAACATTCATTAACTTCCTAACAGAAAATAAGGACTGTAGTTATCAAAGCCACATACTGCACATGAGATGGTAAGCTAAGCCACTTCAAAAACATCCCAGTTGTTTCTGATTAGAGAGATGAATGAAAGATGAGATTTATATTGAACCTTCTATTCAGTTGGCCTCACTCTCACACACTCTCCAAAAGGCTAAACAGCATTTATGTCAGAGATACTCTCCATTCTTTCCCTTGGACTATTAGATCACCTACTGAGAGTACTTGGAATCCCTTCTTTGAGGCCCATTGCCATGCACACAGTTAGTATAAATCAGGTGATATCAGCACACCTTACAAAATTACCTCAACTATGTCCAAAGCATAGTCCAAAGCATTTCCAAAGTCGTCATCTCATATGATCCTAATAATTACTCTATGAGACAGACACAGCAGATGTTCTGGTCCCTTTTTATGTAGATAATAAAACAATGGATCAAAGAGATTAATAACTTGCCCAAGATTATGTAACTAATCTATGGGAAATCAAGACCAAAAGTCAGGGTGTGTGACTGACTCCAAGTGCCATAATCTGTTCACCATACTGCAGGGACCAAGAATTTCATCACAGATTAAGTGAAGACATCTGCTTATGACCAGAAAAGTAGCTCTGATGTCAGACCTTCTCATAGTAATTGTGGGAAGCCTGCTGTTTTCTCTCCATCTCTAGCTTTCCCTGCTGTGGGTGTATCTTCCAGTATTTTTTTTTTATGGATAAAATTTCTGCTTTTCAAAATTATGGAATAGTCACTAATACATGACCATGAGCACCATATTTATAACTTGATTATACAATTTAGCCACAGTGAAGCCAGAACCTTATAAGCAACAACAGTAAAGGGAATGTGCAAATAGTATGTACACTATGAGAAGCCCATATCTGACCCTTAATCAAATATGCTGGAACCAACAGAATATTTTCTGTATGGGATAATTGAGCAAAAGACTTATGGACTCAGTAATAAGTACATTACCAAGGAAATCAAAATGTTTTAAAACTCACCTAACCTATGACCTTTTATAATTAGCCTACAGTCGGTTGTACTCCAGTGCCACACAGTCTGTGTTTGTTCATCCAATTATTTGCTTTTCTAGTGAAAGTCCTCAGTAAAGAGAGATAAGTCAGACTTTATTTAATAATCATTAGTCCATTAAGAAACAGTCTATACGAGAGGCACAATAGTGGGAACATCACACACTCATTATCTGACATGTCCATTGATGCAGGAGCATATTTTATACCAACAGGAGGTGTATATACTACACCCACAAATACCCAGGAATTTCCTATTGCCCCAATGTAATTACTAATAACAGCCCATTTCCCTCTTAGAAGTATTCCACTATGTATAATTGATCATATGTTTACCCTACATATTAATATTCTCTCTGCTGCACCTTGATTCTAAACCTATCCCATTAACCAGACAATGATAGTTTAATGTGTCATTACATGTATATTCTGATCATATTTTATGTTTTTGAAATATTCTCCCATACATAGAAGATAAAGATACTGTAGGTCTCGGGATATCTAGGTTCTAGCCTTCACTGTGGCACAAACTTGTGTGAAATTGAACTATTGATTTATTATACTTGTTTTACACATCTATAAAATTGGAGGCTTAGACCAAATATCTAGAAGACCTCATGCAATTCTAAATTATGTGAATCAGCATTAAACTCTGGCATTGCTTTGCCAATAGATAAATGAAAGGTGTGAATTTTTGAAACAAAAAGGTACTTGTGCACATGAGAAATGGGAAGACCTGAGCAATGTGGAAATGCTTAGGTTTTGTACTACCTAAATGGCTCTACAGAAATTCAGATTTACATAATCGTCTTCTTTTTCTTCTGCAGTTTCTGTTTCTATTCTTGTTCTTCTCTCTTGCCTTTATTCTATGGCCTTGATGTCAAGGTGCCTCTTAAAGGTAAGATTCCATTTAATTCTCAAAATGTGGTTTTAAGTGCTATCTGATAAGAATGGTGCTGCAAATAGTTATTCTGCTATGTTTTTTAAGAACAAATGCCCTTGGTTTGTTTAGCCAAAAAATGAGAAACATATCCAATCCATTTTGATGACTATCAAAGACATAGAAGGGTTATGAAGTGGGAATTAAGGGTTATTAGTGGGAATTAAGAATTTTTTCCAGTTATCTATATTACTTTGAGAAGTCACAGTGCCTTCAGATCATGGTGTTCTCATAGCAATCTCCCATTAAATGGAAAGAGTTGCTTCTGTATCTATAGGGTGAAGAAATAGGACTGTGGCTTTAGTATTTCTTCCAGCTTGAAACTGCCAATTCTGCCAGGCATGGTGATACACACCAGTAATCTCAGCAACTCAGGAGGCTGAGACAGGAGGATGGCAAGTTCAAACCCAGCCTCAGAAACTAAGTGAGGCTCTAGGCAACTCAGC